GGTGAGAGCGCACAGCGGCGAGGGCTGAACTGCGGGACTGACGTAACGAGCTTGGGTTTCCCCCAGCGTCGGGAACATGGATGAGAAATCCAACAAGCTGCTGCTGGCTTTGGTGATGCTCTTCCTCTTTGCCGTGATCGTCCTCCAGTACGTGTGCCCCGGCACAGAATGCCAGCTCCTCCGCCTGCAGGCGTTCAGCTCCCCGGTGCCGGACCCATACCGGTCGGAGGATGAGAGCTCCGCCAGGTTCGTGCCCCGCTACAATTTCAGCCGTGGCGACCTCCTGCGCAAGGTAGACTTCGACATCAAGGGCGATGACCTGATCGTGTTCTTGCACATCCAGAAGACCGGGGGCACCACTTTCGGCCGCCACCTGGTACGCAACATCCAGCTGGAGCAGCCGTGCGAGTGCCGCGTGGGCCAGAAGAAATGCACTTGCCACCGGCCGGGTAAGCGGGAGACCTGGCTCTTCTCCAGGTTCTCCACGGGCTGGAGCTGCGGGCTGCACGCCGACTGGACCGAGCTAACCAGCTGCGTGCCCGCCGTAGTGGACGGTAAGCGCGACGCCAAGCTGAGACCGGCCAGGTGAGTGTGCGTCTGCGCTGGAGGGCTGCGGGAGTGCAGGCAGGTGTGCCTGGCCGCCAACCCAAGGGGCTTTGGTGACTGCAGGGAGCATGCTGGCTGGGACCTTGGCCCGCCTGTTGGCTGATGGGAGTGCGTGCCGGGAACACGGAGAACCCCACACGTCACGCTAAGCCAGCCCTGGAGTGCTCTCCGTGCCGCGCCCTGAGTAACTCCTGTGGCCCCCTCCTCTCTGCCTCGCTGCTCTACACCCTGCCACCGAAGCCCCGAAGCCTCCTGTCCCGGCTCTCGGCCTCCTTCCCGCCTTTCCATTTCCCCCCATACACACACCGCGCGCTTTTTTTCCGCGCTTTCTCGCTCCCTTTCCCTTTTGCTCGATCTGCCCCGCTCCTGGGCACAAGTGCTTTGCTCTTCCTCCTCTCTTTCCAGCTTTTCTTGCTCTTTCCCTTTTACTCTGTTTCTTGCTTCCCCCCCCCCGCCCGCCAGACTTTTTGCTCCCCTTCTTCCCTTTCTTCCCTGCCCTCCTTTCCCCTCATCTAGTTTGATTGTCCAGGGGCGCATGGGTCCCTCTGCGCTTCATTCTTTCCTTCCTCCTCCATTTCCCTCTCCGGCTTGTCTTTTGCCACTTTCCCTTTTGTCCTTTCTGGCTTGACTCTCCTGGGGTGAGTGGATGTCCCCCTGCCTCTGATTGGGGACACCTTGGGGGATCTCTCGGTGTCCAGCCAGTGCCTCTCACTACTGGCCGCACAAGAGGCCTCCCTCCGCGGAATTTGGCAGGGCCAGGGGGCACCTCGTGGGCGGAGGGCCAGGCTTGGCAGACACCCTGTGCGATCAGGTCGTTGCCTCAGACCCCATGTGGGGTTCTGTGGTGGGGAGCTTCACTTGACTTACAAAAGCCTGCGCCTGAGCAAGAGCCAGGCGCCGCCGCCCAGCTGCCGGGAACGGGGCTGACACGGAAAGCGGCTGATTTATGGAGAGCCAGTAGCCAGTTGCTTTTGAAGCGAGAATTTTCCTCCCTTCAGCTGCAGTGGCCCGTTGCTTCAGGCCATGGAGCGCAGTCAGGAAGGCGGGGCGGAGGGTCGAGCTGGGGTCCAGGTGCTCCAGCCAGGGCTCCTGTTTCGCCAGTCTCCCTAAAACAAATATGAGCAGGGGGTCCGGAGAGTAGGAACAATAAGTCTAATCATCAGTGGGGCGCTGGGCTGGGGCATCCAGCCGGGCAGGCATGGGTGCACTCCCTGCATCCCCATGGGGGTAACATCTAGGAGTGCTGCAGTGACTACCCACCAGGTGCCTTCTTACCCTACAGGAGGGGATTCTTAGGGCCTGTACTAGGCAGTGTTTAGCTGGTGGCTTTTGGAAGCAATAGCCAGTCAGGTATCTTCTGTCCAGCCCCAGGCAAGTGGAGCCATCAGACTTTGTGGTCCCCGTTGAGATCTAGAGGAACTGTTCTCACACCTGAAAGAGCCTTGGTGGCATAGCGGTTAAAGCATGGCTGCCGAAAGTGGCCAAATCACACCCACCAGGAGAAAGATGGGGCAGTCTGCTTTGATAAAGATTACAGCCTTGGGAGCCCTCTGGGCAGTTCTACTCTGTCCTACACCCCCCCAAAAAAAAAAAAAACCAACTCACTGCTGTCCAGTGGATGTCCTGTAGGGTCAAAATGACTCTGAGTTGACTCAAAGCAATGGATTTGATTTTTTTGTATTATTACTCCCCCCTCCCCTTTTCCCTTCCCTGCATTTGTAGTAGCCTTGCCCAAATGCTACAGTTCTGGCAGAATCTGTTCAACTCTGATTTCCTTTCCAGCTCTAACAGCCCCCATCTCAAGAGAACCTTGGCCCCAGGAAGGTGTGTGTGTCATCATCACAACAAGGTTCTGGTATTTAAGAAGCTCCCAAACAATCTGGCAATATTGAAAATAGTGTGTCTTGCTTTTGGAGCATGTAGGTCTAGTGAAGGGTTTGGTTGGTTGGTTGGTATGTGCTGTGGAGTCGAACCCGACTCACAGTGACCCCTCCTTGGGTTTCCGAGGCAGTATCACTACGGAAGCAGATTGCCCCATCTTCCTTCCGAGGAGTGGCTGGTGGGTTTGAACCACCAGCCTTCTGGTTAGCAGTCAGGTGCCTTAGGCACTATGCTACCAGTGATAGGAAAAAAAGATCTTTCCAACAAAAATAGGATCCCACAGCCATGACTGTAGCAGAGAAGTAAAAGCAAGGCCTTGGCCACCATGGAAGTCGGGGCTGTGTCTGGAGTCCCGCAGGGCACATGTGCTTTTCCAGTTCCTTTTGAACATGTAGGCCAGGGTGTAATGCAGTCTATAAACACATATTATTAATGTGGTCTGCATTATCTATTTGGTGGCTCCTGTCCTCTGGCAGATGCCTTCAGACTCTTTCTATGGGACAGCTGAGACCCCTCAAAGTGGGGCTTCTGGCCCCTGGGATTGTCCCAAGTTGAATCACAATGATTTGAAATGAAATGGGATTTCCTTGGTCGTAAAAAAGGGTGATACCACAGTGCCATCTAGTCTAATCAAGGAAGAACCACTTTTTTAAAAAGAGTCAGAGGCACTGGGTATTTGTAAAAAGGACATCAAATTTGCTAGAGAAACATTTGTAGTCCAAATGTGTTTTTTTTCATTCATTTATTTCATCCATTCCTGCCCACCTCCAGAAATCTTCATCTGGGACAGTGGTGATAGCCTGAGGGTTGCAGAGTGTTGACAGATCCCAGCTTGCAGGACCAGTCATCATGGGTTGTGATATTCTGTATGAGCAAAGGTGTGCATGTGTGTGTGAGAGTGAGAGTGTGTGCATATGCAAGTGTGTGTGTATGAAGATTTAGAAGCAAAGGCAGCTGTGCCGGTAGTGATGCACAAGGGTGGGGGGCTGGTCCCAGGAGATGAGTTAGCCCTGTGGAGCAGCCTTTCCATCCAGCTGGTGGTCTCTGTGTGCTCATGTAATAGTAACTCCGGAGGCTAGCAGAATAGCAGTGTTTAATAGAGGCACTTCTATTGGATTTAGGGGGTAAATGCCTGTAGGTGGTCAGCAGCCGCCTAGTTCTGGGGTTGGGGCTAGGCTAGAGTGATAAAAAGCTCAGAAGAAGCCTGCGAAAAAGAATATTGAACTGAGGGTGGTAGCAGCTTCTTCTGCTTGGCCTGGGAGTCCAGACACCTGGACCTTAGTTCCAGGCCAGCCATGAGCCGGCTGTGTGACCTTGGACCAGAGCCTGTCTGGAGAGTGCTTCCCGGATGATGATGAGTTTTTGCATCCTTTATCTCTGGGTATGTCTCTGTAAACTTGCACTGTCCTTGGGAGGAGGGCAAGGTGGGCATAAGTATCACCATTTATCAAATGAGAGTGAGGCTCCAAGAGACTGGGGGGCTTTCCCAAGGTCGTCGAGCACTTCAGTGGCATAGCAAGAATCTGACTCCAGAGGTGTCTGACTCCATACCCCTTGCCATGCTGGCTGCAGCTTGACGGACAAGGGTTTTTGGGAAAACACAATGAGGCAATGCATGGTAGCATTTATCACAGAGAAAACACTTAGTAAACGTGAGCTCATCTTGATATCTATGTCATCGCCATCATCAGTCATTTAATACATGGGAGGTCGGATGGGGATTAGACCAGTGTTGTCAAATCCTTTGGGTGAAGAGCACATCTTTGCTGCACCCCTGTGGCTTTATGCTCACCAGGTGTAGGTCCGGTGTCCCAGAATGTAAAGGAACCTCTGCTTGCCATGTTGGAAATCCCTGCAAAGCTGGTCAGGAAGGGAGGAGCATGGGGCCTGGTGAATAAGGGGTAGGAGAAGTCCTTAGATGCAATAAAGACCACCCCCTGTCTCTCAGCCATCCATTCACATTTGGGGAAGGGGCATGACAGGCCATCATGGCAGCCAGCCAAGACCCTCACTTCTGCTCCTAGGGCTCCATTTGAGATGCTGCCCTGATGGTCAAGTGCTTGGGTGATATGTCACTGCTGAGTAGAAAGACGCATGAGCATGTTTTCTGAGGAGGACAGACAGAGTTTGCTTGGCTGACAAAAGGCTCAGTTGTTTATTAACAATAATATTTCTTGAAAAGAATTAGCAATTACATCTCATGTGCCTTTCTGCCGATATGTTGTTGGGAGTATGAGAAGGGTCCTGCTCTTCTTAGCATCTCCAAAACCATTTTTGAAAATGTATCAAAACATTGTTGTTCACCAGCTGTTACAACTCCAAATTCTGCAGGCTTTTCTTGGGCAGGATTCTCTGTTGGGAGCCAAGTCTAGTGTGAAATTGGGACCACAGGAGGAATTCAGAACTGGACCTCATCGTCACCACGTACTGTGCTGGCTGCCACAAACAGGGCTTTGGAGGTGGGTGGGGGTCCTGGCTCCAGGGCTGTACAAGTCATAAAATGTTTCTGTTGAAAGAACCTCATCATCATATTCATGTGACATCCTGGACTTTCAGCATCTCTAAAATTTTCAGCAACCATATTGAAGAGGACTTAATTGTCACCTAAAATCCAGCAGGAAATAACTGACATGCTAGGGCTAAAAGGTGTTTAGATGGAGAGAAGCTTGCTTTCTTGTTCATTTCTTTTTAAATGGTAGCTCTCTTTTGAAAGAGGCAATTCTGTAGAGTACGTGTGCCTGATCTCACCTCACACTTACATGCCTACCTACCCACCACTTCCCTTTCTTGATTTGGCTGGGACAAAGGATTACATGACAGGCTTGTGGCCCGGGGTGGAGGAGGTAGCAAGTAGATGGGTTGTTACAGCCAGCAGTGCTGTCCCTGTGGCCTGTTGGACTGTAGATTGGTTGGGCTCTCGCTGGGGTAGCTTTGCTTAGCTACTGATGTATTTTTGCAGCCGTCTCTGATGAGAGCGGTTATATCTCCCACCTGTTTTGCAGAGAGGGACGGGAATCCATAATGATAATATCATTGCACCATGGGTGGCAAGCATATTGTTGTAGTCCCAACAGTGTACTAATTTCTCACGGTAGTGC